CTTCACTTTGGTTCAATTGTCTCAGTTAGGTTCAATATGGGGAAGACTGCAGACTTGACAACTGGCCAGAAGAGCATCATTGATACCCTCCATAGGATGGGTAAGCCACAAAAGTTCATAGCTAAGGAGGCTGGCTGTTCACAGAGTGCTGTGTCCAAGCATATCAATGGAAAGTCTAGTGGAAGGACAAAATGTGGCAGGAGAAGATGCACCAGCAGAAAAGATGACCGTGGGCTTCAGCGGATTATCAAACAGAGAAGATTCAAGAATCTGGCAGATGGGCTGGAGATGGGCTACAACTGTCGGGTTCCTCAGGTCAAACCACTTCTGAACCTGAGCCAATGTCGGAAGCATCTCAACTGGGCCAAGGAGAAGAAGGACTGGACTGTTGGTCAGTGGTCCAAGGTCCTCTTTTCCAATGAAAGTAAAGTGTGTCTTTCATTCGGGAATCAAGGTCCAAGGGTTTGGAGGAAGACGGGTGAGGAACAGAACCCAAGCTGCTTGAGGTCCAGTGTGAAATATCCCCAGTCAGTCATGATTTAGGGTGCAATGTCCGGTGCAGGTGTTGGTAAACTCTGCTTTCTTAAATCCAAGGTTACCGCAACAGTCTACCAGAATGTTTTAGAGGACTTCATGATTCCTTCTGCTGAGGATCTGTATATGCAGTGTGTATGCCCCTGCCCATACCACCAGAAGCACCAGAACCTGGTTTGATGGCCATGCCATCACAGTGCTTGACTGTGAAATTGCACAGATTTTTCATTCTGTATTGAGTTTCTCTTCTGACCAAATTTGTACTTAGTTAAACCAAACCCCAGTTAAACCAAACCCCCTGGACATCCTGAGACTGACTCAGTTACAGGACAGTTCTGCTCAGCTGTGATTAATCCCTCCAATAAGAAGTCATTGTCAAACATTAATAAACAACATTATATAGATCCCACACCAGTGCCTATATCTGTGGTGTCACTGTGAAATTCACACTGGAATTTTCTGTTTAGTTTTTTAGTTTTAGCTACATAAAGTCTGCAGAAATTCTGCAAATATTTTCAATTTCATCATTTGTGGAACAATCAGCATGTACATAATGAGTTTGTTTTACTCATTTTGTGTAATTTGTCCTCCAGCTGCATTCAGGGCATTTTCTTCACATTTCTGTCTAATTTTGGTTTCAGGTTCATCTCCTTCTCTGCCAGAAGGCGACTGAGACAAGATGAAATGATTATAAAACCAGATACACACACAATATAATACAATACAATATCTATTCTTATTTAATCCTAAGCATATAGCTGCATTACAATCAGCTGCAGTCACGAGACCAAAACTATCTATAGCAGAATACATGTAATCCAGTTCCGAAAATGAATCAGTGACTGACGGTCAGGAAGGATCATTAGTGCAGGTTTATTTCTCTCTCTGTAAGTTACTGTATTAGCAGCTAAAGCTAATTTTATAAAGCTGTTTTATAGCTGCTCTGCTCTGTCACTGTGCAGCACTGCAGTCTGTTTTTATCATGATCCGTCTCTTTAAATGCCGCACAGCCTGCTGGTGAGGACGCCTGTGTGACCCTGTGTGTGAGACACACTGATCGTTACTCATTTAATGTTCTTTGAACAGTGTACACTAATGACCCCTGTTGTTGAAAAAGGTGATGGAAAAATGGGGCTTCTGAGAGATAGAGAATTGACACAATTGATTCCATCTTTCAAAGCATTCAAACCATTACTTTACAGAAACATATAGTGATTTAATGCCACTGAGTCTGTTATATAACTATCTATTTCATTAACCAACAGTGACATTGCAAATTTTTCATAATTATTGTTGCTGTATTTCTTTTCATTTTTATACTTTTATATCAAGTTAAAAGTATTTTAAAATGATACAATGATGGTGTGTTTTATTAAGAAATACAATCTGTGCTTGGACTGAGACTGAAGACTCCTCAAAAACTGCAGTTACCAATAGTGACCTTTTCACACAACACCCCAAAATCCTTAAACCAGCGAATACAGTCTAGAAACCCTACAGGGCTTTACTTGCTTGTATCGACAATCCGAAACTTGAAACAAATCAAGAGGATGTCCCACTGGGAAGCGAGGCTTCATTAGTCAGCGATCACATCATTTTCTGAGAATAATACATCCCTCGAAGCGAGACACGCCCCTTCTTACCCCAAACACGCCTCGAAGGCTCAGGTTTGAACGTAACATTACTGCTTCTTGTGGCAATGAGCACGAATAGTAAAGAAACAGCAAACAGGACGATGGCTAATAGAATGTGGAACGTAGCTGATAAACGTATGAAACAGTGTAACAGAACATCAGGATACATGTGAGCTTTGACTGGAGCTTCATTATTGCAGGAAACCATTATTAATGACCTGATATAACTTCTAATCTTAGTTACATAGTTATACTCAGACAGGGGGGCTGCTAGAGATTTTATGGCCCATAAAACCACATCATACTGGGCCCCCCCAGCCGGACCAATCCAGTTATGTTCTGAATGTTTAGGGCCTTGTCACTCAGGGGCCCTGGGAATTGTCCTGCCTTCCCCCCCTTTACAGCACCCCTGCACTCAGCTGAGGGTTATTGGTGACTTACTGTGTAGAAAAATATATTTAAAATGCTTTTTAATAAGTGAGTATCTGGCACCATTCTTGCAGGGTTTACATGCGGTGCTGTCTATATGCGATTTCGTTGTTGTGAATTTGGTTCCTTTAGAATTAATGTGAAATTATCGTCTTTTTCAAGTAATCTAATCACAATTGTTGTTGGTAATAAATAATCGTAAACATTATCTTTTAGTGGTGTTGAGTATGGAAGCATGTAAGTAATAATAAAATTACCATCCACATTGAATAGCGTGTGGTTCTGACAATCAGGCTCCTGTCTGTCATAGTCACAGTCTCATTTTGATTTCATATTGCAGACCCTCTTTCTCCTCGGCTCCCTGGCTTCCATTGTTATGCTGGTCACAGACACACGGCTCCCTCGCTGTTATGAGGTGGCTTCCTCACTCCAGGCTTGAACAGCAATGATGGCTGGTTTTCTTCTATAAATAAGCTTGGACATGCTCCAAAACCTTTTAAAACATCTGTTATTAGACCTGTTCTAAAGAAAACAAATCTTGAACCTAGTGATTTAAGAAATTATAGACGTATCTCAAATCCTTCTTTTATTTCAAAGATCCTAGAAAAAGCTGCTGTTCATCAGCTGTCTTCTGTCCTACAGAAAAATACTGCTAATGAATTATGTCAGTCTGGCTTTAGACCGAACCATAAGACAGAAACAGGCTGCTAGAAATAAGCTTAACAGCCTCCACCTTGGTGCTCTTCATACTCAGCTTAACACAGTGCTCAGAGATCTTGGTGTCCTGGTTGATGCAGATTTATGTTTCGATGCTCACATACGAAGTATTACTAGAACTGCCTTCTACCATCTATGGAACATAGCCAAGCTTCAGAAATGCTCTCCTTTCATGATGCAGAAAAACTAATACATGCCCTTATAACTTCCAGACTGGATTACTGTAATGTCTTCCTTTCTGGTTGTCCATCTGGATCCTTACATAAACTTCAGCTAGTACAAAATGCAGCAGCCAGAGACATACAAACACTAAAAGATTTGATCATATTAGCCCTGTTCTGTCCTCCCTTCACTGGTTTCCTGTTAAGTCTCGGATTGAGTACAAAATACTTCTGTTAAGTTATAAAGCAGTGAATGACCTTGCACCAGAATATTCAAAAATTGAAATATGCAAATATTCAGACAGAATATGTATTACTTATTACAGTACTTATTAAAAATAAAACATCTGAAAGAGTAACAAGAAGATCAAGAAAGACTAAGGTATGACAACCATTTCTCAATTATAAATTATAATTATAAACATGTACAAGGCCATGAAGAGTTTCTCCAAATAAACATTTACAATGAAACAATAATCATAAGGCCCCTAACTACTAAAACAATGTACAGTGGTACCTCGGTTCTCGAACTCACTAGAACTCGAATTTCTTGAAAGTCTAACAAACCAGTTTGACCTAGAACTCGATTTGAATATCAGAAGGCGAA